CTCCATTTTCTTTTCCCATTGAGGCGTAAATCGAGCTTTGACAAACAGTGCTGGAGCTGTTAGCTTTGAAGTGCTTAATGAAAGCCTTACATGAAGAGTGCCTTAAGGAGTGAGCTTTGGGTGAATATTTTTTAGTAATGCTTCTATCTCATGTGGGCTCACTTAGCCATTCAGATTATGAAGGCCAAATGGTTTAATTGCAGGACTTTGTCTGGAAATGAAGAAAGAGCAGTGCTCTAGTTCTATAGAATTTCATAAGACTGCTTAGTTTCTGTCATGCCGTTTCCTGGCCATGATACTCAACATTAAGTTACTAATTTGCAGATTAATGGTGAGAAAATGCAGACTAAGAGTCTTAAGTGAGCACATTCTTTTGTGATGCGTATTTCCAACCACACACTTGTTTTTTCTAGCCTATCTCATAAACTGGAACAATGTGCTCAAAGAGAACTCCCTGGACATGTTTCGATGAAGTAACTATTAATTCCTGGAATGCTGCTGATTGATGTGACTATCTACTGTATTTATCTTGGAGTCATTTGTTTTGCGCTCATGATTTTCATTGGTTACAGCAATCAGTGTTCCAAATAGATCTTACAGAACCCTTCTATCGTAGCTATGAACTGGTTATGATGGGATTGTTTTAGCCGATTGAGTCCTAATATCCTCTGTTTTGGCAGGGAATAGCAGAAAAATGTTCTCTTTGCATGTATCAAATTCAACACAAGGGATGCAGGACGACTTCAATTAAAATTTGTCAATTTTGAACATCTTTTTGTCATGTCAGACTTTTTTTCTTGAAATATAGATACCTTGTACAAGTGAAAAGAGAATATTTTGTATATAAAGCAAGTAATAAAATTGGGGCAATGAACAAGATAATAACTTTAGCTTTGCATATTGATCCATTTCTTGTGCAACGGATGATGCTTTCTTAAATGGATGACTTGCTATTTGATCACAACCTCGATTCATTTCTTGTATGAACGTTGCCTGTTTTTGAAGTATACTGGAAAACATTACAATTTCCTTGCAATTTAACGGTCAAAGATGATCATTAATTTTATCCATATTTTGTGGGGTTCACAATTTTAATCACTTAATTCACAGTTTATTTCTGCCAGATTATAATTTCAACTTATAATTTTACCCAAATAAGCACTAAATTTCTGTCCTCATTTCCAGTGGTGAAAACCATGACACAGTTCACTACAGGTAGTAAGAATTAATTTAACTGCTGCTTATGACAGTATCTGCAATAGAAGATAACAAAAGAGCAATCTCAACGCATTTCAAATTCCTCAACAAAGGTTGGCACCCCCGACAATTTAAATAACTCAGTACTATTAATTTAGAAAACAACATTTCAAACAACAATTTTGATCATATTAGTAAGGTAAGAAGCTATAAATCTGCAAAAATGATTATTCTGGAAAATTGGAGTCCTAAATGTTACAAGAAAAGAAAATTAAGTAGCCTTCTACCTAATTTATCCAGAAACTTGGCACTCCTCGCGTCTGTAGTCCAGGCAGGGTAAGGGATAGGGGAGAGAGGTGTCAATCACCACCTATTGTTGGGTGGTTTGACTTTGTAAATTCTGACTATCCAGTTAGATGTCGTAAATGCCTCTTCCAAGTATTCAAGCTTTATGTCTTTATTTCCTATTTCGACTCCCCTTGCTCTATCATATCTGTCGTAAACAAATCAGAATTGCATTAGCAGTTTATTTAGGACAGAAAAGCATCATTTTTGTATTCTAACTGGAGAAACGGATAATTATTTAGAATAGGATAGCAATCACATCTTTGCCATCTTCTATTAATAGAATATGGAAAAGAGAGAAACATTCAAACAAATATTAGGTTGAAATGTTAATATATCACCAGTTGCACTATAAAATTCTTTACTTCCGACAAATATATCGACTTCTCAACAACTCAGTGCCAAATAACATATTAAAAGATCTATTTTTATTGCCAGTCTGAGACAACCAGCTATGCAGTCATGCGTGGTATATCAATGACTGCCAAATATCCCTCGAGCGTCAAAATTTAAAAAGTATATTAAAAGATAGGGCACACACGAGAAGCAAAACTCTCAAAGAACATTAGAGAAATGGAGAAGGTAAACAGTTTACTTACCCAGGAGGTTTGCCATATTCTGTTGTCAGCTCACCAAACCGGTAGTAAGAAAGCTTGTACCTAATAACCAATGAAAAATGAAAAATTTACACAACTACAAGAGGTTTGTGAAACTCTTCGACAATAATGTATTACTCCGGTCCATGCCGATGGCAGGATCCAAAAAACCAATAATATCATGGAGAAATTCGAAAATCCATTATTGTTCCATCACCCATTTCAGGTATTGGCAGGTCTACCATGGAAGAGAGTTGGCTGTAGCCTTCAGGCTTCAGCTTATCATCCATATTTGGTTCTTGTCTTCTTGATAAAAATAAGGAGCTTTACAACTACCATTGAGAGATAGGCAGAAGTGTTTGCAGGACTCTACCCCATACCCATTGTCATTCAGCATTAGTGGCATGCAAGTACAATATTTATGGGCTGCAGGTGTACCGTTTCAGGTTTTTTTTTTGATAAGTAATCAAAGAATTTATATGGAAAATGTATTATCAATTTAAACAATAGGGTACTCCTGCTTCACTTGAAGCATTATCCTGCTTACACCTAACATAACATACTGTTTCAGGTTTTATTATTAACATGCTAGGGCAGTGCAGCTTCACTTGAAGCATTATTCTGCTTACGATCAACATGAGACATGAGTAAAAGTATCATTTCATGTTACATATTCGTAATGAGAAACCACAAGCCTTAAAATATCCAAGTGAATTATTCAATCCACCATAGCCAAAATATAAATGTATGAACGATAAAATTATACAGGACAACAAAATGCAGGCTAAATTTGTAAAGTCTGTGATATGATTACTGGACATGGCTAATTGAGCAAACATCTTTTTACTGGTTGAGAACTAACATAGATCAACAACTCAGGCACATATTGAGTACAAGAAAATAACAGCCTACATGCTGCTCTGCTCTTCAAAAAGGCCAAAGCTATACAGATCTACAATTATCGATCACAGGAAGACTTTAATCCTTAAGACCCGTTGCATCGCAATCTATCCATTTTTATTTATTTATTTTTTGTGTGCACATGTGACATCAAGCTTTAGATATGAAGAGCATCTTCAACATTCACATTTGGGTTCTTGCACTTTGTTAGCTGTACACTGGTTAAGCCTCGTGAAGTTGTAAGAAAAAAAGGTGTATGTGCAGGAAACATTAGGATTTTCCATTGGCTCTAATCTATCAGCAAGATGCATCGACAGTGACAAAACTAAATGACACTATTGAAGGAACTGGGATTGGTATGAACTCAAGATCCTGAAACCAGATTACACGGTATAAGGCTAAGTGCATATAAGTTGGAAGATTCCCACCTACATGACTGCATGAATTTGCCGGAATAAGGGTGTTTGGGATTTGATGAGTTATTTTCAGTGTGTGTTTGTTGTTGATTGGATAAATGGGTGGGGATCTTACCCGTGAACAAGCTTCTGCACAGCAGACATAGTTCTGCAACATAATTCATCGGACCCAAGGTGGAAAGCACCTCACATCCACAAGTTGGTTTAAACATAAAATTGAACTATTTGCATAGAATTCTCAGAACTATGATACACATCTTTCAACAGACCAACAAGGGGCATAAATCACTCATCCAGTAATTTTTTACTGAACTCGTGCTTATGTGCAAAAAACTGATACAGTTATAATAAGTGGTTGGAACTAGTGAACAAAATTAATAATGAAAGAGGATACAACTAGAACCAGATACACTGCATTGAACACGAGACTTTAGATACACAATCTAATAAGTGGAAAAAATCAACTTACATTAGACAGTTCAACATCTTTGGAGCTGCACCTTTGTCGACACGATATTCACCATTAACAAGGTAATCTGGTTCCTTAATTACAGGAAAGACTCCACCTCCAATCCTTACCATCCACAAAAATCTAGCACCAAAGTAGTCAATACAATTTGTGAGTGCAGCAGAGAATAAATCAGAGAAAGAACTAGCAAAATGAAAACAGTAAAAGAAAATAACCGGAATAATTGATGAACATTACTTCAGATAACGAGAACTAGCAACTGTACACATACAGTACCAAATATGCTATTTGTGAGCCTCTGAAATACTGGCACATTGGGCAAAAATAATGTGGCAGTCTAACCAGTCACCAGTGGTGCAATCTTATAAGCATGTCAATGTATTATTTTAATTTTTCAAATGCGCTAATGACTTGGTCACCAGGATGATATTTAGCATATAGCAAATTTCCATAGCTTAATCTATAGCAGGGTGCTATCCTAAATATTTTGCAGTCTGAATTTTATGATAACTTCACAAAAGTTTCAAACTTTTGCTAACAAGTGAAAGTTGCATCCACGGTTAAATCCACAATAAATTTGGTAAATGTTTTATCCTTTCTTTCTTTCTTTTTTTTCTCTTTTTTTTTTTTGGTCATTTTAGCCAAATTTGTTTCAGAAACTTGTCCATAAAATGTAAAAATAAATTTGGATATACTGACAAAGACCCATTCAGACATAGTTAAAGGCATCAATATATAATGAAACAAATATCATCATGTAGAAAAGAAATAAATCCTTACTTATCCAAAGGAGTACAGAATTAAATCCTTACTTGTTAATATCATCAGAAGAATAGCCAGTAACACCTCCAAAGACCACTAACACATAATCCACATCTAGTGATCTCATTATGTCATATGCTTCATCCTCATAAGATGACATCGCACGTCCAACAGTAGCAATATGTGTGTTATTCCAGGTATTATTGTCAACAATCACTGTTCTGTTCCCCATGGCAGTGATTTGATAGCCATAATCCCACCATGACATCACCTTGGCATCTGGAGGAGTGTTCTGCCTCAGCCAGAAGTACGCTTCACGGTAATCATCAAAAATGACCCGGTTCCCGTGGGCACCCCTTGCAGCTAAGACAATTGAAGGAGATGAGTATGCCTCTGAAGTGACCCAGGTACAGTGGATAGCGTATCTACTCAGCAAGTAAAATGCACCCAGAAGCAATGCAATAGCACCATTTCTTTGGAATGGTAGTGATTGATCCAATGAACCCTGGTTGCACAACATATACGAGTCAAACTGCTAGTATACCGCACCACGAGGAATATTTTATAGAAATTACAGAGAAGCCAGAAAGACACAAGTACCATTCACAACTGAGACCTCATTAACAAGTTACCCGATGATAGAACCTATGCATTTATTTTATAGCATTGATTACATGGAGGTCTCAACGGAAAAGAACTACTTAAGATGGACATGAGTTGAGAGATTCTTAAAACTGTCCCTTAGAAAAGCATATCCAAGTATTGCGTTTATGATCATGGTAGAGAAAGAAACAAAATATGATACATGGTACTTAGACAAATCATGTACTTTGTTTTTAATATCCAAGGTAGTAGAAGCCAAATTGGTAGCTTTCTGTACTGTTGCCAAACCCAATTTAGGATGGACCCCTGGCACTTATATTTATTCAATGAAGTAAATAATCACATGCCACAGATGATTTCGTAATAGCATTCTGCATAAGAAAAGAATTCAAAGAGGTAAAGAAGATGAAGACATTCTCCAGAATGACACTCATACAATCTAACCTAGAAGCGTTTATCTGTCACCATATTGAAGTAGA